GCACCAGGCACAAGTATGGCGGACAGACACACAGTGAGGCAAAACATTCATACACATAAAATTAAATACATCTTTAAAAATGCCTTTAATAAATCAAAAATTAAGGCAGGCTATATCTCGAACTGATGCCCCTTCCTCAGGCACATACGGATTAAGCAAAGAATCGAACTAGAGTTACCCGTGCTAAATTCCATGTCTCCAGGCTGAAGCTCACCTGTTCATCTGACCTTCTGAGAAATCAGGATTAGAACAATACAGGCCAATCTTCCAGATAAACCAATTCCTATCAGGGTGATAATCAAGAGCCCTCAGGTTTAACCCTTACACAGATGAAGTGACTCCACATGACCTGATGTTAGTGATCATCTTCCTATTGTCTTCCTGCTGTTGCCTTACAGAGCATAGAACCATCAGTAAGGTGTGGTGGCCCAAGCCTGTAATCCTAGCCCCCCAGAAAAAAGCATGGGGATCTAGTAGGCAATGTCAGGCTGAGACTGTTTCAAGACAACAAGGAATCCCAAACCAAAACAGATGCCATGAGTGTCACTTTGGGTCATTGGGAGAGCCTTGGGGACTGCAAGAGTTCACAGTGAGGTCTAGGACAAAACATAGCAATACAGGATGCAAGGTGGGCACTGTTACTATACCATTAATGGAGAACTCTGTAAATAATATGTAACAATAATGCAAAAGAATGGCCGTGCCCCTTTCCAGCAGGGTACTCCATCATATAAGGACAGCGACTCAGAATATTTAGCATGAAGAAGATATGGTAGCTGGGTATGGTGGTGTACACCTTTGATCCCAGACTGAGGCAGGAGGATATCTGTGAGTTTGAGGTCAGCCTGGTCTACATAGTGAGATCTAAGTTAGCCTGTGCTACATAGTGAGACCCTGTCTCAAAAAAAAAAAAAAAAAAAAAAAAAGAGAGCTGGTTCAGACCATTATGGTTAAGGTACTTGCTACCAAAGCTGACAATGGGATTCTGTCCCTGGGGCAGGAAAGGGTTGACTCCTGCAGGCTGTCCCTCCGTCTTAACACATGTGCATGGCATGCATGGACAGACATCCCCTACAAAAACACAGGCACACAGAATAAGAAAATAAGTTTAAAATGGCAAAGTTTCAGTGGTACAAGATGACCATTTTGAAATATGTGGTCTTTGTGCAAAAACAAATCGGAAGAGTCCCGAGACTCCTCAGCAAATAGTGGAATGAACTGGTCTGGCATGGTATGATTACTACATTTGTTGTGTAGTCATGAGTGTTTGAGTACATGCATGTGAAAACCAGAAGTTGAAGCTGGTTATCTTTAAGAAATACACTCTGCCTTATTATTTTTAACAGTTTAAGCAACATATTTACCATCCATTAACAATGTACTTGCTTCTTCTGGGACTAGAGAGATGGTTCAGCAGTTAAAAGCACTTGCTATGCTTATAGCGGATCTGGATTTGGTTCCTAGGACACACGTTGGATGGCTTGCAATTGCCTTGAATTCTAATTCCTGGGGAATCCAATACTCTCTTCCGGCATCTGAGGGCACCTGCACACATATGTTACACAGACATATATTCACACATATAAAAAAAACTTTAAAGAATTTTACCTGCCACCCTCCCTCCCTTGTTTTGGAGACAAGAGTCTCACTATGTAGCCCTGGCTGTCCTTGAACTCAGAGATCTGCCTGCTTCTGCCTCTCTGGTGTCAGGACTAAAGGTGTGCACCACTACGCCCACCCACTCTTACAAAGTTTAAAAAAAAATTGTTTTTTATTTATCTGTGTGTGTGTGTGTGTGTGTGTGTGTGTGTGTGTGTGTGTGTGTGTCCACAGAGGTCAGAGGAGGGTATTGGATGGATGTCCTGGAACTGGAGCTACAAATGGTTGTGAGTGCCATGTGGGTGCTGGGAATTGAACCTGAGTCCTCTGGAAGACCAACTAGTACTCATAACCACTAAGCCATCTCCTAAGCCTCATCCTTTTTTTTTTCCCCCCAAGAGAGGGTTTCTCTGTGTAACGGTTCTGGCTGACCTGGAGCTCGCTTTGTAGACCAGGCTGGCCTCAAACTCAAGAGATTGACCCGCCTCTGCCTCCCAAGTGCTGGGATTAAAGGTGTGTGCCACCACTGTCCCCACACTTCCAATTTTAACAACATAAGTACAAATCCAATATTTATCCTAGCACTTGGAAGCAGAGGCAGGTGGATCTCTGTGTGTTCCACGCCAGCTTGGTCTACATATGGAGTCCAGGCTATCCAGGGCTACATAGAGACCCTGTCTCAAAAGAACAACAAAAAGTAAATTTCCTATGGGAAATTTTTACAATTTTATTTTAACTTTATTTTATGTGGATGGGTATTTTGCCTCCATATATGTCTGTGTATGACATGCATTCCTGGTACCTGAGGAGGCCAGCCCTCTTGGAACTGGAGTTACAGATGGTTGTGAGCTGTCATGTGGGTGTAGGGAATGGAACCTGGGTCCTCTGAAAGAGCAGCCGGTACTCTTAACTGCTTCGGAGCCATCTCTCCACCCCTATACTGGGCTGTGTGTGTGTGTGTGTGTGTGTGTGTGTGTGTGTGTG